GAAGCAATGTTCCCCGGGATGGCCTTTCTTGCCACACTTCTCACAGACCAGGTGTTTCTAGCATACAGATTGGGTGTGCTTCCGGGATCCGCACTGTGAACACCTGACTTGTGCTGCCCCGTCCATGAGATCTCGGGATCTGTACATACCACGGTCCCCGGGTACGGTATCCCCCGGTCGAGAGTTGTCTCCTGTCTTCGCCGTTCGATCGTTGGATGCAGTGAGACAGACCCGACGGTAATCTTCAGGGTCGGAGTCCGAACCGTCGGATCCTGATTCAGCTCCTGAGTCGGGCGCCGTGACTTGGTGGACACGTCGAGCTGGGGCCGTAGGCGTCGGAGCCTTTTGGCGATACTTGCCGGATCCGACCGCCGCCTTCTTCTAACGGTGCTTCGCGCGATCCACCGCCCGCAGCACTTCCTCAAGCTCGTCTGCGTCGGGAAGTCGTAACAGGGTCAGCCTGTCGGCCAGGTCCACGTCTCCCACCGTCTCGATGAAATGATCCACGTGTTCCCGCAGTACCTTGGATCCCCCATCCTTGATCTTCAACTTGGCCCATAGACCGGCCACATTTAGTCGATGCAGGTATTCTAGCGGAGATTAATCCGATCTGCGGCGAGCGTGGTAGTATTGTCGTGCCACCGACACTCCCAATCCACAGTACTGGGTCTGGAAACTGCGCAGCAAATCTGGCCACTTGTTCCTGGTGGATCTGCCCAGCTGCCGATACCAGTTCCTGGCTGGCCCCGCTAGCAGATCCGCAAAGGTCAAACACCTCTCAGCATCCGACGCTTGATCTCTCATGAGGGCCGACTTGACTTTGCTGATCCATGTTCTCGCTCGGTCCTCATCTTGATCCTTGCCCGTGAACTCCTTCAGATCCGATATGGCTGAGATCCGTACCCTCTGGATCATGGACGATCCACCTGCCCCGGCTGTGGCTGTTGCTACCACTGCTGACGAAGTGGATGGGCCATCCAGATCATCTGGGTCGAACTCATCATGGGAGTTGTCTCCCTCCACGGACTCCATCTCCACGTCCCGTGCTATATGTTCGTGGAGCACTTGCACTTGTGGCACGGGCGCTCTCATACCCTGTTCGGCCAGGAAACGACTCATTGCAGCTTCGAAGTGTCGCTGCAGGGTGCCCGAGGAAGTGTCGGAAGAGCCTGTGGCCGTCTGGTCCACTGGCGAGACCGGATCCGTGAGGCGATTACCTTGAGCCCGATCTGACGATAATCCCACTGGCTTCTTGTCGGATCTGGCTCGATCGTGGCCGGATTGTGTCAGATCACGCGTGGGGCCTACTGGATCCCGAGCCTTCGCGCTCACAGGGACTTCCTGTCCTCGGCTCCTCGCCCGCGCTTCCAGCATGGATGCCCCGGAGGGTCCTAAAGTCATGCGTCGTGGTTCGGACGACGTGTCTGACTCATCCTCAGCGGCGGATTCGTAGTTCGAGGATGCAGCTTGGCTGACCCTCGGCGACGACACCGGATCCATAGTGCGCGACCTTTCTCCGGTGATGGACTTAACTCTGGCAAAGAGGTCCCGCGTCGCGGATACTATGAGATCCAGGTCTAGCTCGAAGATATCCTCTGCGTCGAACGCACCAGCTACGATGCCTGACTCCGTAAGCAAACGTAATAGATCTTTGACTGCCACCAACTTGTTCGCCGTTTTCGTTGGTGCTCTTACCGGTTTCCTTGGATCGTCGATCTGTCGAAGATTCAGGATCTGCATGACAGGATCTTGATGCAGGAAGTCGCGTAAAGCTTGGTGGCGATACACAAACTCGAGATCCTTGTCGGACCAGCTTGACCTGGATCCCGCTTGGTCTTCTTCCGACTTTGGAGCTTGCATCTTCTTCCGCGTAGTCTTACTCGTTTTCGTCTTCTTTCTCGTTTCTTCGACTAGCGGGCTTGGGTTTAGGTACGGTGTTGGCTTAACCGGTGAATCTGCAAATGCATACCGTTTTTTCGCCTTCACTTTCCCTTGTTTTGTTAGCGGATATGACTTGCGTCAAGATCCGCAGGGGTCCCCGAGGGGACCTGGGGAGGATAGAGAGGTTTCTATTCTAGATCCGGATCCGGATCCACCTCTCTTCCGTCGACAGAGTTCCTCCCAAAACTCCATCGATCCGCGGATCTTGTTTCATTCAGCAGCGTCTTCGTCGATCCGACTTCCGACGACGCCTCTTCCCCTGGCTCAATCTTCACTTGAGCATCTTCTTGGGACTCACGGTGAAATCCCGAGTCAAGATTGAAACCAATGCAGTCTTCGGGCTGGTATTGTGTTGAGTCATAATAACTGTGCGGATCGCGCTTTTGCGCGATAAATCGATTGAGTTTCTGCCCTATCAGCTTTGGATGGTAGGATATGGGCCTACCATGGCATTAACGGGTAACGGGGAATTAGGGTTTGATTCCGGAGAGGGAGCCTTAGAAAACGGCTACCACATCCAAGGAAGGCAGCAGGCGCGTAAATTACCCAATCCTGACACAGGGAGGTAGTGACAATAAATAACAATGCTCTGGCTCTTCGAGTCGGGCAATTGGAATGAGAACAATTTAATCCCTTAACGAGGATCAATTGGAGGGCAAGTCTGGTGCCAGCAGCCGCGGTAATTCCAGCTCCAATAGCGTATATTAAAGTTGTTGCAGTTAAAAAGCTCGTAGTTGGATTTCTGTTTTGGATGTCCGGTCCGCTCCCTCTGGGAGTGTGTACTTATGGATATTCGAGGCATTTTTTGTGAGGCTGCCTTTCTGCCATTAAGTTGGTGGGTTGGTGGGCTTGCATCGTTTACTGTGAAAAAATTAGAGTGTTTAAAGCAGGCGTTTGCTCATTTGAATACATTAGCATGGAATAATAAGATACGGCCTTGGTGGTCTATTTTGTTGGTTTGCACACCAGGGTAATGATTAATAGGGACAGTTGGGGGTATTCATATTTCAGCGTCAGAGGTGAAATTCTTGGATCGCTGAAAGATGAGCTTAGGCGAAAGCATTTACCAAGGATGTTTTCATTAATCAAGAACGAAAGTTAGGGGATCGAAGATGATTAGATACCATCGTAGTCTTAACCATAAACTATGCCGACTCGGGATTGGCAGTCGTTTACTTTAAATGACCTTGTCAGCACCGTATGAGAAATCAAAGTCTTTGGGTTCCGGGGGGAGTATGGTCGCAAGGCTGAAACTTAAAGGAATTGACGGAAGGGCACCACCAGGAGTGGAGCCTGCGGCTTAATTTGACTCAACACGGGAAAACTTACCAGGTCCAGACATAGTAAGGATTGACAGATTGAGAGCTCTTTCTTGATTCTATGGGTGGTGGTGCATGGCCGTTCTTAGTTGG